CCAACGCCGAATGGGGTGGGATAGACGCCGCTACGGTCAGCTATGCGGAGTTCACCCGCCGCTTCCGGGCAGTATTCGATCATCCCCCAGAGGGTAAAGCGGTGGGTGAGCGTCTATTCCACCTTAGACAGGGGAGGAGGAGCGCGCAGGAGTTCGCGCTGGACTTCCGGACGCTAGTTGCCAACACGGGATGGAATGAGAGGGCCCTCATCGACCACTACAGATGCAGCCTGAGGGAGGACGTGCGTCGGGAATTGGCCTGCAGGGACACCAACCTCAGCTTTGATCAACTGGTGGACATGTCGATTCACCTGGATACCCTGTTGGCTACCCGCGGACGTCTGGATTCGGGGCCGTCCATTCCATCCCCCAGCACTTCTGAGCCGACCCCTATGGAGCTCGGGGGTGCTGGTGCTAGGGAGACCAGGAGGGAGGCCGTCCCCTGCACCAACTGTGGCCGCAGAGGACACACTGCTGGTCGGTGCTGGGGGGGGTTTCCTAGGAATAGAGGCAGTGGGCGACGCACTGATGAGTCATTCCCGGTGAGTAGGAGCCCAACTCACCCAGAGCTCTCTGCTGATCATATGTGTATTAAAGTGGTGTTTCCCGAGGTTTCTCCTCACTCCCAGCATAAGGCGCTAGTAGATTCAGGCGCAGCTGGGAATTTTATCGATCGCCAGTTCACCTATAAGTTAGGGATTCCTATCGTACCTGTATATGTGCCCTTCCCCATTCATGCCCTAGATAGCCGCCCGTTGGGGTCAGGGTTGATTAGGGAGGTCACGGCGCCTCTCTGGATGAAAACGCAGGAGGGTCATGAGGAGATAGTACGTTTGTATTTGATTGATTCTCCTGTGTTTCCCGTGGTGTTGGGGCTTCCCTGGTTAACAGCTCATGACCCCAACATTTCATGGCAGCAGAGAGCTCTCCAGGGATGGTCTGATCAGTGTACTGGGCGGTGTGTAGGCGTTTCCGTAGGGGCAACGACGGTGGAAAGCCCGAACCAAGTTCCCACCTTGCACATTCCACCTAAGTATGCCAATTTGGCTCTCGCCTTCAGTAAGAAGAAGGCGACTCAATTACCACCTCATCGACAGGGGGATTGTGCGATAGACCTCCAGGTAGGCGCTGCGCTTCCACATAGTCACGTGTATCCTCTGTCTCAGGAGGAGACGGCCGCTATGGAGACCTACGTCACCTAATCTTTGAGACAGGGTTACATACGGCCGTCTACTTCCCCTGCTTCCTCAAGTTTCTTTTTTGTGAAGAAGAAGGATGGGGGTTTACGCCCGTGTATTGATTACCGTGGTCTAAATCAGATCACCATCAAATACAGCTATCCTCTCCCTCTGTTTGCTAGTATGACGGAGTCATTACACGGGGCGCGATTCTTCACAAAATTGGATCTCAGGAGCGCGTACAACCTGGTGCGCATTAGGGAGGGAGATGAGTGGAAGACAGCATTCAGTACCACCTCGGGTCACTATGAGTACCTCGTCATGCCATACGGGTTAATGAATGCTCCTTCAGTCTTCCAATCATTTGTGGACGAAATTTTCCGGGACTTGCATGGACAGGGTGTTGTGGTATATATTGATGACATTCTAATATACTCCGCTACACGAGCCGAGCATGTGTCCCTGGTGCGTCGAGTGCTTGGTAGACTGTTGGAGCATGACCTGTATGCGAAGGCGGAGAAATGTCTGTTCTTCCAGGAGTCCATCTCATTCCTGGGACATCGGTTGTCCGCGTCAGGGGTAGAGATGGAGATTGACCGCGTTTCTGCCGTGCGTAATTGGCAGACTCCCACCACGGTAAAGGAGGTGCAGAGCTTCTTGGGTTTTGCCAATTACTACCGGAGGATTATCCGGGGCTTTGGACAGGTTGCAGCTCCCATTACCTCTCTGCTAAAGGGGGGTCCGGTGCGCCTGCAGTGGTCAGCTGAGGCGGACAGGGCATTTAAACGTCTGAAGGACCTGTTTACCTCGGCTCCGGTGCTGGCGCATCCGGATCCCTCTTTGGCATTCCAGGTGGAGGTGGATGCTTCCGAGGCTGAGATCGGCGCTGTGCTGTCTCAGCGCTCGGGTACGCCACCTAAACTCCGCCCCTGTGCTTTCCATTCTAAGAAGCTCAGTCCGGCGGAGCGCAATTATGACGTGGGGGATAGGGAGCTGCTGGCTGTGGTTCAAGCTCTGAAGGTGTGGAGACATTGGCTTGAGGGGGCTAAACACCCTTTTCTCATTCTGACTAACCATCGTAACCTGGAGTACATCCGGGCAGCGAGGAGGCTGAATCCTCGCCAGGCAAGGTGGTCAATGTTTCTTTCCCGCTTTGTATTTCAGCTCACCTATATACCAAGGTCCCAGAACGCTAAGGCAGACGCCCTGTCCCGACTATATGACACAGAGGAGAGGTCCATTGAGCCCACTCCCATACTCCCGGAGTCTTGTTTAGTGGCACCGGTGGTGTGGGAGGTGGATGCGGAAATCGAGCGGGCGTTACGTTCCGACCCTACTCCTCCACAGTGTCCAGAGGGTCGGAGGTACGTGCCGCTCGAGGTTCGCGACCGTTTGATATACTGGGCTCACACGTCACCCTCCTCTGGTCATCCGGGTATTGGTCGGACAGTGCACTGCTTTAGTGAGAAGTACTGGTGGCCAACCTTAGCTAAGGACGTGAGGGTTTATGTTTCCTCCTGCTCGGTGTGCGCCCAGTGTAAGGTACCTAGACACCTGCCCAGGGGGAAGTTACAACCCCTACCCGTTCCACAACGGCCGTGGTCTCACCTATCGGTGGATTTTGTCACAGACCTTCCCCCCTCCCAGGGGAACACTACGATCTTGGTCGTTGTGGATCGGTTTTCTAAAGCCTGCCGTCTCATTCCCCTGCCAAGTCTCCCTACTGCCCTACAAACTGCTGAGGCCCTGTTTACACATGTCTTCCGGCACTATGGGGTGCCTGAGGATATAGTGTCTGATCGGGGTCCCCAGTTCACCTCTAGAGTCTGGAGGACATTTATGGAACGTCTGGGGGTCTCGATTAGCCTTACCTCAGGTTTTCACCCCGAAAGTAATGGGCAGGTGGAGAGAGTTAACCAGGATGTGGGTAGGTTTCTGAGGTCATATTGCCAGGACCGGCAAGAGGAGTGGTCGGGATATATTCCCTGGGCAGAGATAGCCCAAAACTCCCTCCGCCATTCGTCCACTAACCTTACGCCTTTCCAGTGTGTGTTAGGTTATCAGCCGGTTCTGGCACCTTGGCATCAGAGCCAGACCGAAGCCCCTGCGGTTGACAACTGGTTTCGGCGCTCTGAGGAAATTTGGAACGCTGCGCATGTCCATCTGCAGCGTGCCATCAGGCGGCAAAAGGCGAGCGCCGATCGCCACCGCAGTGAGGCTCCGGTGTATGCACCAGGAGACCGGGTCTGGCTCTCGACCCGAAACCTGCCCCTTCGCCTGCCCTGCCGGAAGCTGGGTCGGCGGTTTGTGGGGCCCTTTAAAGTCCTGAGGAGATTGAACGAGGTATGTTATAGGTTACAACTGCCCATTAATTATCGCATTAACCCCTCGTTCCATGTGTCTCTCCTCAGGCCGGTGGTGGCTGGTCCACTCCAGGAGAGTGAGGTACGAGAGGCTCCTCCGCCCCCGTTGGACATCGAGGGGGCTCCGGCGTACTCAGTCCGTTCCATCTTGGATTCGAGGCGTCGGACGGGGGGCCTGCAGTATCTCGTGGAGTGGGAGGGGTACGGTCCGGAGGAACGGTGCTGGGTCCCCAGGAGGGACATTCTAGATCCCTCCATGTTGAGGGACTTCCACCGGAGTCATCCGACTCGCCCTGCTCCGCGTCCTCCTGGCCGTCCCCGAGGCCGGGTGGGGGTACTGTCACGGAATCAGCCGAGGCTGCTCCTCCTCCTTGCTCGGGCAGGCTTCGGCGTTCGTCGTCCCCGGAGTACTAGCTGCCACCGATCCATGTTTCGGTGTTTGACTTGTTTTGTCCTGATTGTGTACACCTGTTCCCCATTAGCTTGTATTGTATTCCCTATTTAACCCTCTGTCGTTCATTGTGTGTTGTGTGTTATTGTATTTCGTCATCGGCAGTGTTCGTGTGCGGGTCGTTTATTCCTCCTATGTTGGAGATTGTTTTTCTTCTCTGGTTACTTTCGAGTAAAGTACGTTTCCAGAAAGCTCTGTGTCCTGCGTTTGACTTCGCCTACCGCATTTCACTGCCGCCTTCTGACAGGATAACCTAATATTGGCCTAATGGCCTTCAGTTCAGAGAAAGTCAAAATAATAATGCATATAAATAAGAACCACAAACTGTAACCTATGCAGACATTTTAATTACCTGACAGATTTCGCAATTTATCAATTACTTGGCACAATATCGTCCACTTTATCTTTTAAAAGAGAAGTATGGCACTAGATAAGTTGATATGTGACAAAACAGATCATTCATCTGTAGGCTACGTGCATAGCACTTTGTTTTAAGCATCAGTTTGTTCTAATGTTCTTACCCAAACTGGGTGCAGCACCTGTTAAACTCTGTAATATCCCTCAAAACACAGGGATGACGATTCGCACGGGTTAAGTTTGGCGAAAAACATTATGTTTTTAGGGCTGGGATAATAACCTTCCTGCCAAGTAAAAATGACTGACATGGCAGATTCGTACGGGACAAAAATGACGGACGTGGTGATTTGTGCTTGTGCACATAATTACATTACCTGAGCTCCCCCAGTAAAACTTATCCCGTCCAAATAGGGCTTTAGATGATAACCACAGGAACAAAAAAAAGCAAGAGCATGGAACAAGACCTCAGCAGCAGAATGACAATGCTGGACATGCATTCATTTTGTCGTATAGAGACACATTCACAACATCCAACCATTTAAAGCTAAACTCTTCTCTTTCTGGGCTCCACCTTGAATAGGGAAGATTAGCACTGTGTTCCTCACCTCACTTTTACGTAAGAGGAAATCCCATTGTCAGAGCCATGTGTGTTTAAAACCTAGAACTCTGTCCCTGTCTCTGAACCACAGGTGCTCCTAACAGGGTAGAGGAGAAGAGGGGGGAATGTGATGTGAAGGGGGTGGTGAGGTAGAAGGACTCACGGTTGCGTTTGCCCCCCTCCTCGTCCCCCTCCTCATCATTCTCAGGGTCGATGTCCTCGGCCTGAGTGATCCAGTCCAGGTAGCCCTTCAGATCCTCCTCCAGCTGCTGCTTCTCTCTCAGCTTCTGGAAGTCTCCACGAGCCTTGGCCTTCTCTCTCTCCTTGGAGAACTCTCTGTGGACGGACACACACACACTTAGACATATTTTTCCTCAGTGTGTGTGGGTGTGTACATACAGTTGAAGTCGGAAGTTTACATAGACCTTAGCCAAATACATTTAAACTCCGTTTTTCACATTTCCTGACATTTAATCATAGTAAAAAATCCCTGTCTTAGGTCAGTTAGGATCACCACTTTATTTTAAGAATGTTAAATGTCAGAATAATAGTAGAGAGAATGATTTATTTCAGCTTTTATTTCTTTCATCACATTCCCAGTGGGTCAGAAGTTTACATACACTCAATTAGTATTTGGGAGCATTGCCTTTAAATTGTTTAACTTGGGTCAAACGTTTCGGGTAGCCTTCCACAAGCTTCACACAATAAGTTAGGTGAATTTTGGCCCATTCCTCCTGACAGAGCTGGTGTAACTGAGTCAGGTTTGTAGGCCTCCTTGCTCGCACAAGCTTTTTCAGTTCTGCCCACACATGTTCTATAGGATTGAGGTCAGGGCTTTGTGATGGCCACTCCAATACCTTGACTTTGTTGTCCTTAAGCCATTTTGCCACAACTTTGGAAGTATGCTTGGGGTCATTTGTCTTTTTTATGGCGGTTTTGGAGCAGTGGCTTCTTCCTTGCTGAGCGGCCTTTCAGGTTATGTCGATATAGGACTCGTTTTACTGTGGATATAGATACTTTTGTACCTGTTTCCTCCAGCATCTTCACAAGGTCCTTTGCTGTTGTTGTGGGATTGATTTGCACTTTTCACACCAAAGTATGTTCATCTCTAGGAGACAGAACGCGTCTTCTTTCTGAGCGGTATGACGGCTGCGTGGTCCTATGGTGTTTATACTTGCGTACTATTGTTTGTACAGATGAACGTGGTACCTTCAGGCGTTTGGAAATTGCTCCCAAGGATGAACCAGACTTGTGGAGGTCTACAATTTCTTTCTTTTTTTCTGAGGTCTTGGCTGATTTCTTTTGATTTTCCCATGATGTTAAGCAAAGAGGCACTGAGTTTGAAGGTAGGCCTTGAAATACATCCACCGGTACACCTCCAATTGACTCAAATGATGTCAATTAGCCTATCAGAAGCTTCTAAAGCCATGACATCATTTTCTGATATTTTCCAAGCTGTTTAAAGGCACAGTCAACTTAGTGTATGTAAACTTCTGATCCACTGGAATTGTGATACAGTGAATTAAGTGAAATAATCTGTCTGTAAACAATTGTTGGAAAAATTACTTGTGTCATGCACAAAGTAGATGTCCTAACCAACTTGCCTAAACTATAGTTTGTTAACAAGAAATTTGTGGAGTGGTTGAAAAATGAGTTTTAATGACTCCAACCTAAGTGTATTTAAACGTCCAACTTCAACTGTATGTGCAGGCGTGTGGCTGTGCATGCATGCCTACGTGTGTGTGCATATGTGCATGTGTTAGCAACTCTCAGATATCTTACCCGCTTAACACTCCCAGAACCAGGTTGAGAACAAAGAAGGAGCCGAAGATGACCAGACTGACGAAGTAGACCCAGGGCAGCTCAGAACCCATGGCATCATTCATCTGAAACAACAACAACATTGACAGTCACAGTTTAGAGGACAATCCATAAGTCCCTGTATATCAATCATCATTTAGCCCCTATTAGAAGTACAGATTACAGTCTGCCATAGAAAACGAACGTATCTATTAGGTTTGTCGATGGAAACGATTCTACCGGTAACTACAGTTGAACCCTGGCATCTCTCTTTGAAGTGACTCTCTCTCTCCAAGACTAGTGAGGGTGCAGGCTTTTGATGCAGAACACACATATTATATTATGGCATAAACATGATAAAATACTGTGGTGTTTTATCAGGGCGGATTGAAGAGAGAAATTAAATCAAACAATGGAAGGAGATTTCCGTGAATTAACAACTTTCAAAGCAGATTGTGTCATTTTACCCCATCACACATCTATGGCATCTAGCTCTTGAGAATGTCCAGATATTTCTGGCATAGCTGCAGTCTGCCCTGAGAAAACTAATCTACCAAAGAAGGCAGCGTATGTCCAAAGTAGAACATTCAGAGTCATTCTACTTGCTGCTGTGTGAATTTGTTGTCAAACGGTATGTCAAGTATTATCTGTTCTGATGGGGTCCACATGACAAACTGGTTTTGGTGCAGTACATCCACAACTAAACTTGTAAGTAGTACCACCTTGGCCCATTGGACTGCATCACAAATCCCCCCCTCCTATCTCACAACGACATCTTCTCTTCTCTCCTGTAGGGATTGGACAAGTGAGTTGGTCACTGGACACTTTATTTCCAGCAGCTCTGTCGTCTACAATGCCGTCTGAACTGGCTGCCAGCCATGGCTCCTCTGGGCACACCACCAGACCTTTGTGAACCACCTCAAACCCCTGAGCCTGCACAAACCCGGTGCCATGGATCTCATTCTCCTTTCCATGTTTGGTGGCCATGTTTCCCCGGAAGGAGGGATACAAGTGTCCGTGGATGAATTTTGCGGAATTGGTGGTGGTGCGCACAGCATTGTTGTGCTCAAGACCACCTAAAGCGAGACCGATTCAAGACCAAGACCGGAGGGGGGTGAGACCGAGTCAAGACCGAGACCAGGAGAGGGACAAGGGTTCCGAGACAGAGTCAAGACCGAGACCAGAAAAAATGCAATTCAATACCATGATTGTAATTTTGTCAAATCACCACCATAATAAGATTTCAAAATGTCCAGTATTTCTGTGTTCATATTTCAGAATATATGGATTCTTTAGACATTCAGAATAGTGAAAAAATGCATGCTGAGGAAAAATAGAGCCACTCTCCAAATTATTACTAACCCAACACAGTGTGGAACAATGGGCCTTCTACACCTTCAGAGAATATTATAATAATAATATTATTATTATTATTATAATTCTAATTATATTATTATTTTCAATGATGTTCTGATTTAATCTCTTCAGTTTTTGTTAGAAGGGAAAGGGTTAACACTGAAGAGACTGGGGAGATAAATCTAGCTAGCTAAGTCAGCCATTGGCTAGGCCATCAGAAGCTAGATAAAGGCATCTGCCATTCAACTGTATTAGGGAACATTTTGGAGTGACAGTGGAATTAACCAATCACATTTTGACTTAATGAGTGGGACCGTTTTTACAAAAACGTCTGGAAACTTATGCCTTCTTGAAGGCCAACAGGTCATTGTGCAATAGCGAGCAGTAGTTTTCCCACAGTCTAGCTAGCTAGCTTTTGTTGTCGGCTAGTTTGCAGCGGCTTCAGCAGGTGTTATCAAAGAGGATGTTGTTGCTAATTTGTTAGCTTCTCCCTTTTCAAGAATAACTTTCAACAAGAATGTAAGTTTCAAATTATCATCATCTGGTGAGTGGAACTGTGTTTTTTTATTGCAGTGCGCTTGCTGTTGTTAGCCATCTCTTTGAAAATAGCTAGTGTGTGAAACATTGTTGCATTTAAAGTGGAACTGACAGCATTTAAGCAACATGAAATCTTATTAAAAAATCTGTTCATATACACCCCCAGGATGAATTCAACACTTACAAAAAAAAATCTGACAAGCGACCACTTAGATATATTTATTTTCACGTTTTCATAAATTCTTAGGATGTTTGCGAATTACATATACTAAGGCATTTTTGAAAATTCTAAAGCAATTTAGAGTAGAGCGGCCATGCATTTGGACAATTAATGGACACTGCAGTAAATAAAACCGAATAAAAACATCTGTCTTGTCCAGGACCGGAGTCTACACATACTGGTGAGTTATAGCCAATCAGAGCAACACGGGCCTGCCATCATTCACTTTGAACTGGACTGTGTGTTTACAGGCAGGTGCAACAGCACGACTTTAGATCATTAGAACGCATTCGCCAAAAGCCACAAAATACACCTGAATGGATTTCTGCAGATATGTAAACACCACGGGAGTCCTCTTACATTTGGGAACTTTACAGTCCTATTGATAAAACAACCATGAAAAGGTAGGCTCTCTCTCCCTCAGTTATGCACATGAACAACAACAAGATCAACAACTAATGTTAGCCAGAGCGAGATGAGCTAAAATCGAACACAGGAACATTAGATAAACCCTCTCCAACTCTCCCTATCCCAGTCTGCTGTCCCCACTTGTTTCAAGCTGTCCACCATCGTTCCTATACCCAAGAAAGCAAAGGTAACTGAACTAAATTACTATCACCCCGTAGCACTCACTACTGTCCTCATGAAGTGCTTTGAGAGGCTGGTTAAGGATCATATCACCTCTACCTTACCTGACACCCTAGACCCACTCCAATTTGCATAATGCCCCAATAGATCCACAGACGATGCAATCACCATCGCACTGCACACTGCCCTATCCCATCTGGACAAGAGGAATACCTATGTAAGAATGCTGTTCATTGACTATAGCGCAGCCTTCAACACTATGGTACCCTCCAAGTTCATCATTAAGCTCGGAGCCCTGGGTCTGAACCCCGCCCTGTGCAACTGGGTCCTGGACTTCCTGACAGGCCGCCCCCAGGTGGTGAAGGTAGGAAACAACACCTCACTTCGCTGATCCTCAACACAGGGACCCCACAAGGGTGCGTGCTCAGCCCCCTCCTGTACTCCCTGTTCACCCATGACTACGTGGCCAAGCACACCTCCAACTCAAATCATCAAGTTTGCAGACGACACAACAGTAGTAGGCCTGATTTCCAACAATGACGAGACAGCCAACCGGAAGGTGGTAAGGGCCCTGGCGGAGTGGTTGCCAGGAAAATAACCTCTCTCTCAATGTCAACAAAATGAAGGAGCTGATCGTGGACTTCAGGAAACAGCAGAGGGAGCACGGCCCTATCCACATCGATGGGACCGCAGTGGAGAAGGTGAAAAGCTTCAAGTTCCTCGGAGTACACATCACTGACAATCTGAAATGGTCCACCCACACAGACATTGTGGTGAAGAAGGCGCAACAGCACCTCTTCAACCTCAGGAGGCTGAAGAAATGTGCGGATGGTCCCACAAGACTTCCCGTAGGTGTAGTTCAGATGCATTTGGGAAGTAAACAAGTGAAAAGTGTGTCCTGCATCCCAATTTACAGGAACAAGGGGGAAATAGATAGTGGTAGCTAACTAGCTAGTGTCGTATTAATCTCACCTTCCACATATCGCGGTGGCGTGGCAACAGGATTTCCCCTAAACAGCGATGCAGGTGAAACCAGCAGTCAGTACTTCTCCCTCCATGCTAGATACCACCCATGCTTGGTGGGGTTGGCTCCTCAGTCTGGCTCGGCTCGACATTGGCTTTGAGTAAGATCCACTTATCTTCGTCTCCGACGAACTTCGCCAGAACGGTCCCAACTTTATTGCTCTTTACATACTGGTAGGCTTCTGAGCTTTTAAGATTTTCCATAGCCTGACCATCAACCGCAAGAGAATCAATGATATATGTGCATATTTTGGCTCACTTTATGGACGGCCACAGAGGGTTTCATATCAGTATCCTAGCCAGTGGTGAGACCCGCTGGGTCAGGTACTGTTTTTCCGTCTCCTCTCATAAATAGATTTTGGGAATACTCCCACCTTATACTTTGGGGATCCATCCCAGTCTTAGCTTGCAAACTTGTATTAGTAGTATTATTGCAGTTGTTGATTTCGTTAACAAAATTAATGCAGAAATATGCTATTGACTGGGTTTCTAGTGGCGCACATATGAATTATGATAATGCATGAGTGCGGGGGAAGTTGTATCCATAGTTTCCGTATTTCGCTTGCTTCCGTGATTTAAAAACCTTTGAAAAGGAGGTGGATAACTGCCAATCTCATCTCCCCATTCCTCCTCTGTGTTCAGTTCTCACTCAATCCCTTTCATGTCTGTCGAGTGGCTGCATCTCTCCTCCACTCCCAATGTCACCTTCACCCCATTCATGGCTTCATTAGCATGACATCGCCATGGTAACTGATACATGAACGAGAAGAAGAGAGGACAGTACCGATAGAGAGGGAGGGAGAGTCATTCGGCAGAGAGAGAAAAGGAGGGAGTGATGGAGTAGAGACGCAGGGGTGAGGGACAAGTTAAGAAGAGAGGGAGAAAAGCAGAGAAAGAGAAAGGGAGGGAGAGATTGGACAGAGAGGTAGGGTTCAGACACAGGTTAAGGAGAGAGGGAGAGATAGGTGGGAGTTCGTAGAGGGGAGGGGGAGTATGTTTGTGTACATTATTTCTGACATTTTATAAAGGTTCTACAAATGAGATTTTAGTGGAGCTCATCCAGTGTTAGCGATGAAGCTAAGCTAACCCTGTTGAAACCTCTGTGTTACTGTGAGTAGAGATAGCTTGCTAGTTGCTAGCTGGGTGTCGTTCATAAAGCAGCCTCACCCAGTACAGAACATCAGTCCAGCCCTCCATGGTGATACACTGGAAAACAGTGAGCATGGCAAACAGGAAGTTGTCAAAGTTGGTGATGCCACCATTGGGGCCGTGCCATCCCTCTCTACACACAGTCCCATTCATCATGCACTGGTGCCCATGGCCTGACACCGCACACGGAACAGGCTCCTCCTCTGCCAGAATACCTTCAGTGCATATAGAGAGATGGAGAGAAAGGGAGGAAAGTAGTTAGAAACACGAACAATGTAAGTTACTAAACATGTACAACAGTAATGCACAGCATGTAATGCCGGACAATAACTTAGTAAACAATGATGCATGGCATCAGATGCATGATATCAGAGTGCGTTTGTCATATGAGAATATCAAATACATCCAGTGAAAAAGGGCACTTGGACGTACAGAAAAGTGTGGCTTTATGCAGTTTTGCTTACATAATCTGGTTTCCAGATACACATTCTGTATGTATAGTGTACATGTTTACACATAATGATCATAGCACACTAGCTCATCAGAGTCTCTCTATCGCTCACACACACACACACACCACACACACACACACACACACACGCACCTCCGCCATCACACACCACAGTCTCTAACTCCCTGCATGTAAATTCCATTCATAATCACACATACATTCACCGCCTGCAGTTCCACTCATCCAACTCAACTGACATGGCTTACATCTCCCTACATCAATAATCTCTTCCTATAGCATGATAATGAGATGTGGCCTGAGCCCTAGCTAAGTGCTTTTCTTGAGGGCAAACATCAGCATAGAGGACCGGATTACAGCAAGCAGAGATCTGGGTCTACTCTGCGCTGACCTGGCTGCCATGCATTGCACTGCTGCTTCTCAAGGACCACAGGGATGCAAACAAACAAGCCAACAAAGAGAGAGAGCTCCCCACTGTAAGACCACCTTATTGTAGATGAAAAATACAGGAGTAATGGTACAACGTCATCTAGCTTTCATGTTTCATACAGATCGCTCTGATTGACTGTAAGTGATATTTATTGTATATTCATTGATATTCAGGGGTAAGTACTAGAATAAGTACTAGTCAGCAGAGATCGTTTAAATATTGAAACAAAGCTGATTTCCATTTTGTGAGTGACTGGAGTCTTAGGGTTTGTACAGACAGATAATTCACATCCGTCAAAAACGGATTGAGCCTAGTGTTTTTTAATGGGGGTCATACATGGACGTACTACAGAGACACACAGCAGCAGGCGATCTAAGCCTGTCTTTTTATGCAGAACTGACATTTTACATTTTAGTCATTTAGCAGATGCTCTTATCCAGAGCGACTTACAGTTAGTGAGTGCATACATTTTCATACTTTTTCATACTGGCCCCCCGTGGGGATCGAACCCACAACCCTGGCGTTGCAAACGCCATGCTCTACCAACTGAGCTACAGAGGGCCATGCATCAAAAGCTGGAAAAAGTTTAACTTCAAGTAACGGACCGAGACGCAGACGCAGGCCCTTACCGGTGCCCACCAGGTAGCAGGTGGCGTGCATCTTGCCGATGAAGAGTTCGAGGCCGATGATGGCGTAGATGATGATGACGAAGAGGACGAGCAGAGCGATGTGGAGCAGAGGAACCATGGCTTTAATGATGGAGTTCAACACTACCTGTAAACCTAGAGAAATGGAGAGAGAATGGTCAGACAGACACACACACACAGGATGGAAGCAGGGACAGTGTAAAGCTATGAGGACATCCATTTAATATATCCATTGAGTATATTATGAGGAATCCATTCAGTATTTGTATATGTTATGTCCATACCTAGATTTCAGCCTGTATAGACTTCTATATCGGTATCAATAAAACTTGAGCTTGAACTAGAACCAGAAACATTATGAGAGATTACTACATACTGATGGATCTCTAGAGTCTATATTTATTGAATGTTCTGGTGCCATGGCGACTCACTGGGTACTCCTGAGACAAGGCGGAGGGGGCGGAGCACCCGGAACGCTCGGAGGGCCTTGACGTCGAAGCCTCCTGGTTTACCTCCCTGGCCCCCGACATCGCCCTCTTTGGTTATCACCTCCAGAACTACACTGAACAACCTGTGGAGTGAGGGAGAGAGGGAGGAAGAGGGAGAGAGAGGGAGGAAATAGGGAGGGGGAGAGAGAGATCACTGAGATCACACACAGAGATACAGATGACATCATTTAAAAATACAGCCCTGAGTCATAAGGCTTTCTGAGGTCTCTGGTGACAGAGCTCTGATTTATCTTAGTGGTCTTTTCTGGGCCATACTGTAGCGCGTGTGTGTGTGTGTGTGTGTGTGTGTGTAAATTTTGTTTGAATTGAATAAAAACACATGTAAAAACAACATGGCGCCTACCGCTATGAAATGTCTGTTTTGGGTTTCCCCTGATTAACACACTGCACTGTATGAGTGTCTGTCTGTCGCCCAGTTTGTGTGGCAAACAAACTCCTCAATATAAATATTTATTTCTGTCAATATTGAGTATATCAAAATATCGCTCCCGAGTGGCGCAGCGGTCTAAGGCACTGCATCTCAGTGCTTGAGACGTCACTACAGACCCCCTGGTTCGATTCCAGGCTGTATCACAACCGGCCGTGATTGGGAGTCCCATAGGGCGGCGCACAATTGGTCCAGGTTTGGCCGGTGTAGGCCGTCATTGTAAATAAGAATTTGTTCTTAACTGACTTGCCTAGTTAAATAAAGGTATAATAATATCATAAAAATTCTATGAGCTAGCATTACAGAAAGGCACCAAAATGAGAGGAAAAATGAGAAGAATACCCCCCCAGTCCAGAGGTGACATAGGACACAGCATTATGGCTAAGAGTAGTAGACTACACTAAGTGTTTTTTATTTATTTCCTTTACAGATACTGTATCTTAATTTGAGCCAGTTTCACATAGCAGGAAAATAATCCTGCAGCAACAGGAAATGCGAATTGTTATGTGGATTATAATAAATTGACATTTTTCTTTAGGGCAAATCAAGTCTGACATTTTAAAGTGGAAATTACTCACTTTAGAAGCCTTTTTAAACCTTGAATACACAAAGAATGATCAGATTAAGACACGGCATCTGTAAGTCTTTTTTATAAGAAGTGGGTTCAATAACCTTATTGTGGCCTTTTTGCAACCCTTAAGGATTTTCTTTTTCTCTTGAGGGCACATTCAGCAGTCCAGACTGGGCTGTAATGATGTACCTTGGGCATCAGGAGGAACTGACATACTTATCCATATGTGTGCCGTGTGTGTGTGTGTGTATGACTCTGTCTTGGGAGAGCCATTCATTAAACAGTAGTGACAATGACAAAATGACTCACCCTACTATGACAATGACAAAATCCAGCATATTCCATCCGTTCCTTACGTAGGAGTTCTGGTGCATGACTAAACCATACGCTATGATCTTCAGAAAGGTCTCTATTGTAAAGATGATCAGGAAGGCATATTCTACTGTTTCCTGTGGGGAGGGAGGGAGGGAGGGAGGGAAAGAGAGGGGGAGGAGAAAGAGAGACACAGTGAGAGAGGGAGGGCCATTAAACATCAAGGATGTGAATAATAAATACAACAACAAACACTCTTCAAGAAGAAGAAGTCTGATTGGTTCATTGTGCAGTACGCAGGCAGTAATGGTTGAGCCAACAGGTTTTAACTGTACTGGGGACGATCATCACTCATCATTCACCTGGCCCAGAGCAGGGATTTGAGAAATGATGAGGATTCAGTTACAGTGGCAGAGGTTAGAATATGCCAGAAACAACAGACAGAGATGTGGGGAAAAGAAAGAAAGAAAGAAAACAGGTTGCTAATCCAGTTAGACAGATAAAAGGTATGTGAAAACAACATTAATGTAATTCATTGGATGATTGATGATCATGATCTCTATTTTCCCATCATGCCTGGCGGTGCAGAGCCACACAGACAGATGATTAGAGGGTGACAGGACGTGAGGTCTGGATTAGTGCGACGGGAGGAATAGCCAGAACAAAGCAGTCTGATTTGTGTAATCCTGAGGAGAGGAGAGCCTCTGAACTATTCCATTCCTCTACTTGGTCTTTCATGCTGGTCACACCTGAGAAAACTTGTTTTGGGTTGACTAATTGGCATCCACTTTTTAAAAACCAATCTGCCGTGGTCTGGGAAAGCATTCAATCTCACTTCTAGACAAGCCTGTGGTCAGAATACACCTCTGTATACAAAGAATTGTGGGCACAAAACACACATATCTCAAATCCAAAAGACATCACAAGACACCAGATCCCTACGATGCTGTGACTTGTCAACACTATCAGCACAGCCTACAAGCAAAGCAACACTTTTCCCCACCACCAACACATATCTCAGTGAATTCATCTAAGGAGCACAAAGTCAACATCAGAAAACTGTCATCTCCTGTTCATTGCGTAATGCAAATGTTACCAGGGTAACAGCATGAGTTTTACTTTTAATACCAGTCAGAGAGCATATCCCTGTATCTGGCAGAGATTCCCACATCATTCAAGGCCTCTGCTTTGTGATTCAGCAGCAGGCTTTAAAGAGCCATTAAGCCAACCAGTCAGGCTTCATTATAAAGCAGCCTTTTCACACAGGGATTAGCTAATATAGAGTAATACAGAGATAGAACAACTTGACCTGTGAGGATGATAGGGGGACAACGATGTGGGAACTGTCTAAAGAACCTTGGCGTGACCCTGGACAACACTATGTCATTCTCTGCAATGCAGTGACTCACTCCTGCAGGTTCATGCTCTACAACATCTGTAGAGTAAGACCCTTACTCACACAGGAAGCGGCGCAGGTCCTAATCCAGGCTCTTGTCATCTCCCGTCTAGACTACTGCAACTCTCTGTTGGCTGGGCTCCCTGCTTGTGCCATCAAACCCCTCCAATTCATCCAGAACGTCGCAGCCCGCCTGGTGTTCTACCTTCCCAAGTTCTCCCATGTCACCCCGCTCCTCCGCACACTCCACTGGCTTCCAGTCAAAGTTTGCATCCACTACAAGACCCTGGTGCTTGCCTATGGAGCAGCAAGGGGAACTGCCCCTCCTTACCTTCAGGTTATGCTCAAACCCTACACCCCAACACAAGCGCTTCATTCTGCCACCTCTGGTCTCTTGGCCCATCTAACCCCTACAGGGGGTCAGCTCTCGCTCATCCCAGTCCAAGCTCTTCTCTGTCCAGGCACCCCTATGGTGGAACCAGCTTCCCCCTGAAGCTAGGACAGCAGAGTCCCTGCCCATCTTTCGAAAATGTCTAAAACCCTACCTCTTCAAAGAGTACCTAAAATGAATCCACCCCCACCCCACACACACACACACACAACGGTTTGGACACACCTACTCCTTCCAGGGTTTTTCTTCATTTTTACTATTTTCTACATTGTAGAATAATAGTGAAGACATCAACACTTTGAAATAACACATATGGAATCATGTAGTAACCAAAAAAGTGTTAAAGAATGTCACGGATCCCCCCGGTACTGCTGCTCATTCCATTCACCAGCTCCGGAGGTCTACGTCACCGGTCTTCTAGGCGTCACTGATCTGGTTCATTACCACCAAACCCGGACTGTCTTGTCTCATTACGCACACCTGGTTCCCATTCTCCCTGATTAGTATGTGTATATATGTGCCCTCTGTTCCCCATTGTCCCATGTCCGTTGGTCTCGTGAGTACCATGTATTGTGCTCTTGTTATTACGGGTCTTGTCCCGTGTATTGTTTAGAGGTTTACACTTCGCTCTTTTGTTTGGGTTACATCCCTGTGGTATATATAGACGTGTTTGTTTTAGGCTTCGTCCCCGTCGTTTTCCATGACATACCTAATGTTGGGTAGAGTAATAAAAAAATATATTACGTATTCCTGCGCCTGTCTTCTATCAGTATACAACGTGACAAACAAATCAAAATATATTTTATATTCTTAAAAGTAGCCACCCTTTGCCTTGATGACAGCTTTGCACACTCTTGGCATTCTCTCAACCAGCTTTATGAGGAATGCTTTTCCAACAGTCTTGAAGGAGTTCCCACATATGCTGAGCACTTGTTGGCTGCTTTTCCTTCACTCTGCGGTCCAACTCATCCCAAACCATCTCAATTGGGTTGAGGTTGGGTGATTGTGGAGGCCAGGTCATCTGATGCAGCACTCCATCACTCTCCTTCTTGGTCAAATAGCACTTACAAAGCCTGGAGGTGTGTTGGGTCATTGTCCTGTTGAAAAACAAATGATGGTCCCACTAAGCGCAAACCAGATGGGATGGCATATCGCTGCAGAATGCTGTTGTAGCCATTCTGATTAAGTGTGCCTTGAATTCTAAATAAATCACTGACAGTGTCACCAGCAACTCACCCCCCACCATCACACCTCCTCCTCCAGGCTTAACGGTGGGAACCACACATGCGGAGATCATCCGTTCACCTACTCTGCGTCTCACAAAGACACAGCGGTTGGAACCAAAAATCTCAAATTTGGACTCATCAGACCAAAGGACAGATTTCCACCGCTCGTGTTTCTTGGCCCAAGCAAGTCTCTTCTTCTTATTGGTGTCCTTTAGTAGTGGTTTCTTTGCAGCAATTCGACCATAAAGGCATGATTCACACAGTCTACCGTGAACAGTTGATGTTGAAATGTGTCTGTGACTTGAACTCTGTGAAGCATTTATTTGGGCTGAAATTTCTGAGCAGAGGTAACTCTGGGTCTTCCTTTCCTGTGGCGGTCCTCATGAGAGCCAGTTTCATCATAACGCTTGATGGTTTTTGCGACTGCACTTGAAGAAACTTTCAAAGTTCTTGAAATGTTCCGTATTGACTGACATTCATGTCTTAAAGTAATGATGGACTGTCGTTTCTGTTTGCTTATTTGAGCTGTTCTTGCCATAATATGGACTTGGTCTTTTACCAAATAGGGCTATCTTTTGTATACCACCCCTACCTTGTCACAACACAACTGATTGGCTCAAACGCATTAAGAAGGAAAGAAATTCCACAAATTAACTTTTAAGAAGGCACACCTGTTAATTGAAATGCATTCCAGGTGACTACCTCATGAAGCTGGTTGAGAGAATGCCAAGAGTGTTTAAAGCTGTCATCAAGGCAAAGGGTGGCTACTTTTGAAGAATCTCAAATATAAAATATATTTTGATTTGTTTAACAATGTTTTTGTTACTACATGATTCCATATGTGTTATTTCATAGTTTTGATGTCTTCGCTATTATTCTACAATGTAAACATAAAAAAATAAATAAAGAACAACCCTTGAATGAGTAGGTGTGTCCAAACTTTTGTGTATATATTTGTTTTATCCTACTGGCACTGACTTTGCTGATAACTACTTTATTGAGGGGAAATGTACTTGCTACGATTGTGATAATGTGGTTGACTCACCCAGTTATGAATGCACAAATTGTAAGTCACTCTGGATAAGAGCGTCTGCTACATTACTAAAATGTAAAAGGTTTTCTTCAGATAGAGGAATTACAAAAGAGATGCAGAAAATAGGAGAATACACAAACAGCTAGATGGGTGGACTGTTGAAGAGGCGAGAAAATGAAGTAGTGCTTAAAAATAAACCTCAGCCGCCACACATCCAGCACAACCATCACAACAGACACAGTCTCCAGTAGCCTGCCGATGGCCCAGCATCTCCAAGTGATGACGCTAGCTGCTTCATACTGATAAGAGCCATGAACACACATTTTAACTGCTTGAATGTGTGTCTCCTTCCTCACTCCTCTCCCCTTTGTTTGCTTTGGTCTGAAATGGCCCCTTTTTCTGTTCTGTCAACAGCTGACAAAGCAGACCTGCCCAATCCCTCTTTACGGTAATAATCTTGTCTGAATGGAAGCACTTAGCAGAGCTCTGACGCTGTGGCAGCCACGGAGGCCACGTCCGCCCTGCTGCTACCTTTGTGACCTTAAGTCACTGTGTGTGTGTGTGTGTGTGTGTGTGTGTGTGTGTGTGTGTGTGTGTGTGTGTGTGTGTGTGTGTGTGTGTGTGTGTGTGTGGTGTGTGTGTGTGTGTGTGTGCAGAAGCTGGGCCTGAAGAGGAGAGATTGCAGCCAAGTGACAATAGAGACAGAAGGTGTGTGAAAAATGTATGCACTCACTAACGGTAAGTCGCTCTGGATAAGAGCGTCTGCTAAATGACTCAAATGTACAAATGTGTGTAATCAGTGGAGGAAGGAGGGGAGCAGCATCTCTCCATTGTGAACATCAGCTAATAGAATGGCAGGGAGGGAGTGGAACAGCTAAGAATATGGAACATCCACTATTAGTGACTAATGGAACAGCTGAAGATGGGAACACAAACACAACAACCAGAATTGGACCTGAAGGTGATAGAGCTGAATCAAACAGAACAGCTCCAGTGTGATGATGAGGGGGTGCCAAGAGGTTGAACTCCTCTTCCATTGGTGGTGGATAAGGTGTTTCCCCTATACAATGTAAAGCACTTTGAGCACTTGGAAAAGTGCTAGCTATGTATTTACTGTAAATCCAATCCATCATCATCACGATCATCAATGGGTAGAGTGGAACAGTATCCTAAAATAGGTCAGAAACAGGACGCTAGCAGCCACTGTGACTTGCCAGATCACGGGATGAGAGAGAGGCATGAACCAAACCACTGCCAAAGGAACGCTTCAATGACTTTTGACTTGACCATAAGTATTAAATCACCATATTTGGGTCCAACCCCAAACTGAAGTTGTTTATTCAGCCCAGTAATCAAAGTCTCTCTGGTGCTTTTGAATAGTCTGAGACTGGCCCTCATCAGTCTTAATACTCAGTGGGCTACGTCTTACTCATTAAAGAATACATTACACTCATTGTGGGTTGGTATTATGGGTTCTCATAGGGAAGAATCTACACTGTGTACACAACATTATGAACACCATTACATAGATTGACCAGGTGAATGCAGGTGAAAGTTATGATACCTGTTAAATCAACTTCAATGAGTGTAGGTGAAGGGGAGGAGACAGGTTAAAGAAGGATTTCTAAGCCTTGAGACAATTAAGACATGGATTGCGTATGTGTGCCATTCAGAGGGTGAATGGGCAAGACAAAATATTTAAGTGCCTTTGAACGGGGTATGGTAGTAGGTGCTAGGCGCAGCGGTTTGTAGCAATAACTGCAGCACTGCTGGGTTTTTCACGCTCAACAGCTTCCTGTGTGTATCAAGAATGGTCCACCACCCAAAGGACATCCAGCCAACTTGACTGTGGGAAGCATTGGAGTCAACATGGTTCAGCATCCCTGAGGAATGCTTTCGACACCTTGTAGAGTCCATGCCTCGACAAATTGAGGCTGTTCTGAGGGCAGAATTGTGGGGGTACAACTCAATATTAATGTTTTGTACACTCAGTGTTCATTTTGTCTCAATGTAAACATAATTTTATTAAGTACATACAGTAGGTGTGAGCGAACATGTAAACATGCAGCACACAAATAATTATTTATTTTGTTCATGAAACCTGTAGTTTGAGTTAAATTGAGTTAGATTGAGTTAGACTAAATAGTGCCTGTAGTCTTTATCTGACAGGTGGCGTCCTGAGTGTTGTACCCATGGGACATGGAGGAACACAGAGCTGAGTCTCTCAGTGAACTCTCTCTGAACCCAAACTGCTCTGCTGCATCCAAATAAACCAGTCTAAATTAAACTGAGCACTCAAATAAAACATCCAGTCCTTGTTATACAACATTTGAATGATTGATGCTGGAACCAATTTATTTTCTAAAAGAATACCGCGCAACAAACTAATGAAAAGGGACTGTTAATATACTTTCAATGGAGGATAACGGAGACATTGGATAAGTGTGTGTGTGTGTGTGTCTCTGTACACGCATCCACCAGGTCAGTGTTCTTTATCTCTTTAGTCTTGTTGGCTATCAGTGTAGAGTGTTTTTTGATATGGTAGGAGAGGGAGCTCTCCTAGCATACAGACCATAGTCCAGTGACCAATACAGGACAATGCCGCTCTCCATCAATAAATGGCTTCCATAAGTGTCATTTTTCAAGGGCAAGTGAGAGACTGAGGGAGAGTAAGAAAGTATGTGTGTAAGTGTGAGAAAGAGACATAGAAAGAGAGAAGACAGACCGATAGTGAGAGAAAACGAGAGTGAATACGAGACAGAGGAGAGAGAGAGAAAGACTGGAGGAGGGAAAGAGAAAGACTGGAGGAGGGAGAGAGAAAGACTGGAGGAGGGGGGGCATCAGTGTGAGACAGTGTGCTCCTCTTTTCACTGTAATCCTGTCTGTCACCCACCCACCCCCAGGCCTGAGCTGCTCAGATCACTCATCATGGTCCAGCCATGTACTCAGAATAATCTACCATCCCATCAAATAAATCAATCACTCAACATGGCAAAATGGTGTTGACAGATTTAAGCACCCAGACTGACGCCTGTCTGTCTCTGCAGATGGAAAGAGGTGGAGCCTCCTACTGGGTGATCCTGGAAAGATATTGGGGTTGGGCTCAGTTGAGTTTTCAATTAAATCAATCCAGGAAGTGAATGGTTTGAAAATAAAACTGAATTGACCCCAATCCGGACAGGTAGTCAAAGTATCTGAGGTATCGTCTGTTGAACTTTGGGTGTATGGGCTGGAGGCAGGCAGGGAGAGAGAGAGAGCGAGAGAGCGAGAGAGAGAGAGCGAGAGAGAGAGAGCGAGAGAGATAGACAGAGAGCGAGAGAGAGAGAGAGAGAGAGAGAGAGAGAGAGAGAGAGAGAGAGAGAGAGAGAGAATGGGAAAGATCACACTCACACTGTATATGAATATGGGACACCAACTACATGGGTGGGCCAATCAAATTGATTCATGTTAACTGGACATAGAGAGATACTGTGTTCAGTATAATCAGCAGTGTGGGTTGTGCAGCCTACAGGGTACCTATCACTGGGGGGGAACAGGTCACTGTGTTTTATACTCAGTCTGACTCTCTCTCTCTCTCTCTCTCTCCTCTCTCTCTCTCTCTCTCTCTCTCCTCTCTCTCTCTCTCTCTCCTCTCTCTCTCTCTCTCTCTCTCTCTCTCTCTCTCTCTCTCTCCTCTCTCTCTCTCTCTCTCTCTCTCTCTCTCTCTCTCTCTCTCTCTCTGTTTCTGTGTGTTTGGGATCGATCATTTTGCAGGGTTGGGTGGACAGCGTCACGCATTACCTGCTAGATGGATCAGCTGGGAGCAGTGGTAGGCATACCAGAGAGGGTTCGTGCCATGCCATCTGAGCATCTGACGCTGATCAGAGTTGACAGACCCAATGCCATTTGGATGAGCACAAACCACAACAACCTCTACCTTGGATCACATGGTACCTCCCGAATTGTCAGTGTCACATAACGTGACGTTAACAGCGGAGACACTAACTATTAGATCAAGTAGCCAATAGGCTTATGGTGATGGCATCTCATTTATGGGTCATTGTGGACGTTTGCTTTGAGGATGATGAATGATGAGATAAAGAGAGAGAGACTGTGTGTGTGTGTGTGTGTGTGTGTGTGTGTGTGTGTGTGTGTGTGTGTGTGTGTGTGTGTGTGTGTGTGTGTGTGTGTGTGTGTGTGTGTGTGTGTGTGTGTGTGTGTGTGTGTGTGTGTGTATGCTACTGTAAGTAACCCTGAGGCCCTGATGTAGTCCAGTAGCAGGCTGTGGGGGTAATCAGGCCTTATTAGCTCTGCACTGATTGATCTGATGAGATTAATAAGAGCCAGAATGGGGGACAGTGTGCTGCAGACTACAGCAGAACACAGTAAGAAGAGAGCGACTGCTGAACAGAGGAGCCCCACATCTCCACCATTAGCAACACTCCAATAGCCATTTACCTCCTACTTGCTATAAAAACAGCAATCCAAATCTCAATACAGGCAGATATGACAGTAAACAACAGTTACAAACTCCCTAATGGAATGTTCTATGTAAGCTCAGACAATAAGCAAAGGACCTCTTCTGAAAATAAGTTTCAGGCTTTCCGTCACCTCACCTCCCACGCAGACCTATTGTTATTTGTCAACAAAGACAACAGGCGTTAGATACAAATCTGACTCTGCTCTCCTCCCCCTCATTGGCTAAGCACTCTGCACAGTAAAAATCTTAACCTATTCTCTGCCAGCTACAAAACTGTTCTGCCCTATGGAGAGACAGTGTGAGAGAGAGAGAGAGAGAGAGAGAGAGAGAGAGAGAGAGAGAGAGGAGAGATAGAGAGAGAGAGAGAGAGAGAGAGAGAGAGAGATGAGAGAGGAGAGAGAGGAGAGAGAGACTCAAGATAGATCGAGAGATATACTATCTCATATCTATGATATCTCTCTCTCTCTCTCCTCTCTCTCTCTCTCTCTCTCTCTCGTCTCTCTCTCTCTCTCTCTCTCCCTCTCTCTCTCTCTCTCCCTTTCTCATTCCTCACCCCCCCTCTCTTTAACCTCCACTGCACCCAACCCCAGACACTTCAACCCTAAAAAAAAGAGTTGCAGTCAGTTTAAGAATGGGTGGCTAGGAATAAACTTGTCCTGAACAAACCAAAAGCATTGTATTTGGTACAAATCACTCCCTACGTACTGGACTTCAGCTGAATCTGGAAATGAATAATGTGGCTGTTGAGCAAATAGAAGAGACTACCCTTACAAAACAACACATGTAAAATGGCTGAGCTTAAATTTCACGTGAAACCATATTATTACATTTAGAGTTTGCATGTTAACACCTCCTTTTCAGGTGAGGAGAATTGTGTCATTTCACATGTAAAAAACCTCAACATGTAAAAATCTCACTTTCACATGTGGATTTGCAAGGTCACATGAAAATAAATCAAATGTGAAAAGAATTATAATTTGCAGGTTCACATGTAAGAAAACTCCACATTTACTCCAATGTTTGTAAACAAAGTAAATGTATAGCCTAAAAACATGGTTACAACTATTATTTTGATATTATAGTCTATGGATTTGAGAGTGCTTGCATTTCTCCAGCCCCATCCCTCAGCTTTTACCGAAACAGTGGCAGGGGGAACACTTTGTTCATGTTTCAATTAAGGATTGCCCCTTTAAACACCTTTAATAGAGTCCCTGGATGGGAGACCAGATGTAGCTGGAAGTGATGAAAACTATAATGTGAAGAAAAAAAAATGCTATTTTTTCATGAGGGAAAAACACGTGAAAAATGAACATGTGAAACTTCACACCTGTGTCCGAAAACCATGTGTCTGACTCGTGAACATTTCACTTGATATATATATTTTTTTGTAAGGGTAAACTTCTTGGTGTTCTATTTGATTGAAAACTGTCAGGGTCAAAGCATATTGATTATATTATTGTAAAGATGGGGAGAGGTTTGCCTGTGATAAAGAGATGCTCTGCTTGATTAACATCACATGCAACCAAACAAGTCCTGCAAGCTCTGGTTTTGTCGCATCTTGACTATTGTCCAGGTGTATGGTCAGGTCTTTAAAAAAATGACCTAGAAAAGCTGCAGCTGGCCCAGAAGAGAATAGCACGTATGGCCCTCAAATGTACACGGAGGGCCAATGTCAATACCATATATGTCAGTCTCTCCTGGTCCAGAGTGGAGGAGAGATTGACTGCATCACTGCTGGTCTTTGTAAGAAGTACTGACGTTCTGAAGGTACCGAATTGTCTGTTCAGCCAGTTAACGAACAGCCCAAAAACTCAGGGGTCTCGGGGGTCTCTTCACAGTCCCCAAGTCCAGAACAGAGGCTGGGAGACGCACAGTACTGTATAGAGCAATGTTTACATGGAATTCTCTTCTACCTCAGGTAACTCAGGCAAGCAATAAAATCAGTTTGAAAAAAACGGATAAATCAAAACCCCAAGGAACAACGCGGACTTTGAAGAGACACATACACACACACGCCCACACATTATTCTTAGTGTTATTCATTTATTTATTTTTATTTATTTTCTCTTTCTTCTTCTTCTTATATTTTAAATAGTCGTAGTGGCCTTTGTTTATATTTATGTTGCTGTTCCTGGCCATTAGTATTCTGTATTTTGTCATGTTCTATGTTTTGTGTGGACCCCAGGAAAAATAGCTTCTGCTTCTTCAACAGCTAATAAAAAATAAAAAAATAATAATGTAATATATACTATATATATATATATATATATATATATATATATATATATATACAGTGTATTCTGAAAGTATTCAGACCCCAATACTTTTTCCACATTTTGTTACATTACAGCCTTACTCTAAAATTTATAAAATTAATTTTGTGAAAACAAGTTTAGAAATGTTAGGAAATGTAGTAAAAATAAAAAACTGAAATACCTTATTTACATAAGTATTTAGACCCTTTGCTATGAGACTCGAAATTGAGCTCAGCTCATCCTGTTTCCATTGATCATCCTTGAGGTGGGCTCCAATCAATTTGTAGAAACATCTGTGGTAAATTAAAATGATTGGACATGATTTGGAAAGGCACACACCTGTCTGTATAACAATTTTAAAAATGTATGCACTCACTAACTGTAAGTCGCTCTGGATAAGAGCTTCTGCTAAAATGACAAAAAATATATATAAGGTCCCACAGTTGATAGTGCATGTCAGACCAGAAACCAAACCATGAGGACGAAGGAATTGTCCATAGAGCTCCGAAACAGGATTGTGTCGAGGCACAGATCTGGGGAAGGGTACCAAAAAATGTCTGCAGCATTGAAGGTCCCCAAGAATACAGTGGCCTCCATTCTTAAATGGAAGAAGTTTGGAACCACCAAGACTCTTCCTAGAGCTGGCCGCCTGGTCAAACTGAGCAATCGGGGGAGAAGGGCCTTGGTCAGGGAGGTGACCAAGAACCCGATGGACACTCTGACAGAGCTCCAGAGTTCCTTTGTGGAGATGGGAGAACCTTCCAGAAGGACAATCATCTCTGCAGCACTCCACCAATCAGGCCTTTATGGTAGAGTGGCCAGACGGAAGCCACTCCTTAGTAAAAGGCACATGACAGCCCACTTGGAGTTTGCCAAAAGGCACCTAAAGACTCTCAGACCAACAAGATTCTCTGGTCTGATGAAACCAAGATTGAACTATTTGGCCTGAATGCAAAGCATCACGTCAGGAGGAAACCTGGCACCATCCCTACGGTGAAGCATGGTGGTGGCAGAATCATGCTGTGGGGATGTTTTTCAGCAGCAGGCACTGGGAGACTAGTCAGGTTTGAGGGAAAGATGAACGGAGCAAAGTACAGAGAGATGCTTGATGAAAACCTGCTCCAGAGCGTTCAGGACCTGAGACTGGGGCGAAGGTTCCCCTTCCAACAGGACAACTACCCTAAGCACATAGCCAAGACAATGCAGGATTGGCTTCGGGACAAGTCTCTGAATGTTCTTGAGTGGCCCAGCCAGAGCCCGGACTTGAACCCGATCTAACATCTCTGGAGAGACCTGAAAATAGCTGTGCAGCGACGCTCCCCATCCAACCTGACAGCTTGAGAGGATCTGCAGAGAAGAATGGGAGAAACTCCCCAAATACAGGTATGTGAAGCTTGTAGCGTCATACCCAAGAAGACTCAAGGCTGTAATTGCTGCCAAAGGTGCTTCAACAAAGTACTGAGTAAAGGGTCTGAAAACGTATGTAAATGTACTGTTTCAGTTTTCTATTCTTAATACATTTGCAAAAAGTTCTAAAAGCCTGTTTTACTTTGTAATTATGGGGTATTGTGTGTAGATTGATGAGGGGGGAAAAAAAACTATTTAATCAATTTTAGAATAAGGCTGTAACGTTACAAAATGTGGAAAAGGTCAAGGGGTCTGAATACTTTCCGAATGCACTGTATATATATATCTGGGTGATTGGGGTTGTTTTAATTAACAAGGCTATTCGATCTAGTCATCCAAATGGATCAAGACTAATGCAATCATTTGTTCACTTTGATTCATTTCATTTATTAAAGTGCATAGGATGGTAGCTAATTATATAGCCACTCCTATCTGTCATATATTTTTATCTGAGCCTAGAGGAAAGTCTTTGTCCTCAGGCCTGGATGGAAGCCAAAGTAATTCCGCTACCCAAGAGTGGTAAAGCGGCCTTTATTGGTTCTAACAGCAAACCTATAAGCTTGCCGCCAGCTCTTAGCAAACTGTTGGAAAAAATGGTGTTTGACCAAATACAATGCTATTTCTCTGTAAACAAATTAACAACAGACCTTCAGCATGCTTATAAAGAAGGGCAGTCAATATCTACTGCCCTGACACAAATGACTGATGATTGGTTGAAAGAAATTGATAATAAGAAGATTGTGGGAGCTGTACTGTTAGATTTCAGTGCAGCCTTAGATATTATTGACCATAACCTGTTGAAAAAACGTATGTGTTATGGCTTTTCAACCTCTGCCATATTGTGGATTCAGAGCTATCTATCTAATAGAACTCAAGGGTTTTCTATAATGGAAGCTTCTATAATGTCAAACATGTAAAGTGTGGTGTACCGCAGGGCAGCTCTCTATGCCCTCTACTCTTTTCTATTTTTACCAATGACCTGCCACTGGCATTAAACAAAGCATGTGTGTCCATGTATGCTGATGATTCAACATCTCTAAAACTGAGAGCATTGTATTTGGTACAAATCATTCCCTAAGTTCTAGACCTCAGCTGAATCTGGTAATGAATGGTGTGGCTGTTGAGCAAGTTGAGGAGACTAAATTACTAGATTCAATGGTTGTAAAGATGGGGAGAGGTCTGTCCGTAATAAAGAGATGTTCTGCTTTTTTGACACCACGCTCCAAAAACCAAGTTTTGCAGGCTCTAGTTTTGTCTTATCTTGATTATTGTCCAGTCATGTGGTCAAGTGCTGCTAGTTAAGCTGCAGCTGGCCCTAAACAGAGCGGCACGTCTTGCTCTTCATTGTAATCAGAGGGCTAATATACAGTACCAGTCAAAAGTTTGGACACACCTACTCATTCAAGGGTTTTTCTTAATTTTTACTATTTTCTACATTGTATTGAATCCCAAGAGTGTGCAAAGCTGTCATCAAGGCAAAGGGTGGCTACTTTGAAGAATCTCAAATATAAAATATATTTTGATTTGTTTAACACTTTTTTGGTTACTATGTGATTCCATATGTGTTATTTCAAAGTTTTGATGTCTTCACTATTATTATACAATGTAGAAAATAGTACAAATAAAGAAAAACCCTTGAGTAGGTGTGTCCAAACTTTTGACTGGTACTGTAAATACTATGCATGCCAACCTCTCTTGGCTAAGAGTTGAGGAGAGACTGACTGCGTCACTTCCTCTTTTTATAAGAAACATTAATGTGTTGAAAATACCAAATTGTTTGTATAGTCAACTTACACACAGCTCTGACACACTCACTTACCCCACCAGACATGCCACCAGGGGTCTTTTCACAATCCCCAAATCCAGAACAAATTCAAGAAAGCGTACAGTATTATATAGTGCCATTATTGCATGGAACTCCGTTCCATCTCATATTGCTCAAATAAACAGCTAACCTGGTTTCAAAAAACAGATAAAGCAACACCTTACGGCACAATGCCTCTCCCCTATTTAACCTAGATAGTTTATGTGTATGTATTGATATGTAGGCTACGTGTGGCTTTTTTTAAAAAAGTACGTAGTTCTGTCCTTGAGCTGTTCTTGTCTATTAATGTTCTGTTTTATGTCATGTTTCATGTTTTCTGTGGACCCCAGGAAGAGTAGCTGCTGCTTTTGCAACAGCTAACGGGGATCCTAATAAAATACCAAATAAAATACCAAAATACCAAATAGTGAAAGGAGAAATCAGATATACACTAGACATTTAATAAACTAAATATAAAATATGAAACTTACAGTTATTGTGAACACTGTGGTCCTTCATAGTGAGTAACATGCTTGGTTATATCATCATGAGTACTAATAATAGATTATATCATATAATGAAAGAGATGGTGGTAATGTCACATGTCTAATAATACATGGCTCGGTTATGTCATATCTAATTGGCTTAGCATAATGAGGAAGACTTGCTGATTGGTCAGTCAGGGAGGTTAGAGAACAGGAAGAGACAGGAGTGGGTCAGAGTTATGGTGATGTGAAGTACAGTCACTGAGGGTTAACCAAGGCAGAGGCTCTGGCACCTGTGTGTGTGCAGTCACGTGTGAGTGAGTGCGTAAGTGAGTGAGAGAGAGAGAGTGAGAGAGAGAGCGAGAGATCCATAAGAATTTGCTGGTCCCTTTATCAATATAAAAGCCCTTGTGTTTGATAGTGCACAAGCTTTACTCCACAAACTCTTCCCACCCTTCATCATCATACCCTCACAGGTTTTACAATTAAGCCCATATGATTCCCTCTTGTTTCTATTTTAAGTGCTGGATTTATAATCCTGCACAATGTCAACAGAGTACATGGATAAAATTAACTATAAACATATTTGATGTTGGCCTATCACCAGCAGCCACTTATAGCCACAGTTTTAGAGTGTATGTGTACTCTAACATGTTCACACATCCAGTATGCATTGAGAAACAGATTAACATATATTGGTATACAAACATGCATTCACACACACACAACACATATTTGCATCAATGCAGCCAGGTTATGTTGTGGAGTGGACAGAGTGGGCAGGCAGGCAGGCAGGCAGGCAGGCAGGCGGGCAGCAAATAGAGCAGCTGTAGCTCATCTATATTCCTGGTTGAAGAGAGTCTCAGAGGCAAACACTTCCTCCCAGACACCCTCAAGTCTCCATGGACACAGTTGTCACGGTAGCGGAGAGCTTTATGTAAAATGGGTGAAGGAAGGAGCCACAGATGAATATACACACAGTACACACTCGCTTACAATAACACACACACTCACACATATTACACACACAGACACAGAACCACTCACATGTATAAGAGGAATAAGCACAGAGGACACAAGACAAGACTAAACATTTGCCTGACCTCCAGGTCCAGTAATATACCCCTATGATATTGAGCATTTCATTATAGGGGTAGCAGATATCAAACCCTCTACACAACGCCATTGATTTTGATCCTTTAACCACAGTATCAAAACACTGTATTAACTTCACACTGGCGTAAATACTGACGTTACGGGGATGACAGGTTAGAAAACCCATGTGAGAGGGGTGCCAGCCAGGTCCCCAAAAATGCCCTCTGTCTTGCTGTTGCAGTTTATGGCCCCACTAACACTAACGCTCTGTTGGTTGGGCATCTGTGTACCAACAGGGCGTGCCAACAGGACAGGCTGGGTAACCGGGTCATGGTATCTGCCTCCTAGTGGGCCTCCCAGGACGGGGGATAAAGCCCCACTCTATTCAAGGTCACATTCTTTTGTTCTACTCCTAGACTTAAGGGCACCTAATGTCACAACATTAAATCAGTTTGGCTGGTCACTGGGTGCGGCTGGCGATGGGATCAGTAACACAGTGGATTGAGGAGCTGGTTTTGGACCGATGGAGAGGAGCATGTGACTGTGACTCTGTGTGTGGCCTTATGTGTCCCTCTGAGGGCCGTCCTCCTCCTCATAGAAAAAAAAAAGAGACGTAAATCTCATTGTGACTTCTCTGGTTTAATAAAGTAGTGCCTTGCTCACCACCACTGTGAGATTTGTAAAAACACCAAAGAAAAACAAAACGCTCCCACCACTTGACTCTCGACGTCAAAAACTTCATCAAGACTGAGTTTCTTTGGATGCTTAGCCATGTGTAACAACTGCCACCACAGTCTTCTGTTTCCTCAGTCTAACAACTGGTCTAGCATAATGAGGGGGGAGATCTTCACCCTCCCAATCCCCATGTCAATCCAATTACAACCTAATCAATGATCCCACATTCCCTCCATCCCTCCATCTCTCTTTAAATCCCCCTAACCTATCATAATGGGTCGAGAGCAGTGACTTAGTGATTGAGTGAGGGAATAGCTGAGAGAGGAAACAAGAGGATGACTCTCTGACAACAGTGAGGGATTGACGACAGAGACAGATGAATGAGATAGGAGTGGGGATGGACCATGGTGAAAGGCATCAATCAGGCTGCAGGCACTTTCCAGCTGCACAGGCCTGGCTGCAGTAATCCGCCCTCACTGGGCCTTATAAGGCAGGATTAAAACAGACAAGCTTCCTCACAGCCAGCAGCATACTGTTTACAATCCTTCCTCTTTATTCTCATCCATATCATCATCATCATGTTCATCATCCAACATCTCTGTTGTCGTCATCATTATCATCAGAGCTATATACTGTATTTGGAGAGTTAGGCCGACTTTTAGAATTTTTAATATTGTTCTAATTCTAGACATTCAGTTACATAGCATGTAATGTTAATGGAGAGCTAACATGGCTGCCATAGTTGTAGTGTCATGTAAATGCATCATAATGCTCATTCTAGGCATTCAGTTTTATAGTATTTGTAAAAGATATTCTCCATGTAATGTTAATGGGGAGCTAACATGGCTCTAAATACATGGCTCTGATCATCATCATTCCTATCATTATCCAATCTCCATCTCACAGAGAGATGACTGAAGCAGGGCCACTACATTCACATCCACCAGAGCATGACTAATCTCAGATGGACAACGCCATGGGGGCAGCTTGACCACATCTGATGGATCTGACAAGTATAGCTAAAAAACCCTCAGCATAGAATACGCACACGTGCACACACAGACACAAATGCACATACATACACACGCACGCACACACACACACACACACACACACACCACTTCAGGGCCTGGACATACAGTGACTGCAACAGATCTTCTGTTGACATTTCAAAACACCAAATAAGTTACATGAGGCTAACACGCGTGAAGCCAACCGCTGTTGACATTTCACAAGACCTAAAAGCACTCGTGGCGAAAAGCTTTTGACACCTCACCCAGACCAAAGACACACTCTGTACCAAGGCGAGGCAAAATACTGTTGACATTTCATGAAACCTCCACACACACACACACACACACGCACACGCTGCATGCGTGATTACAGTTTGAGGGTAATGATTACAGTATGAGGTTAATGATTACAGTATAAGGGTAATGACTACAGTACGAGTGTAATGAATACCGTGTGAGGGTAATGATTACAGTATGAGGGTTATGATTACAGTATGAGGGTTATGATTACAGTATGAGGGTAATGATTACAGTATGAGGGTAACGATTACAGTATGAGGGTAATGATTACATTATGAGGGTTATGATTACAGTATGATGGTTATGATTACATTATGGGGGGAAATGATTACATTTTGAGGGACATGATTACAGTATTACATTTACATTTACCTCATTTAGCAGACGCTCAGTATGAGGGTTATGATTACAGTATGAGGGTAATGATTGCAGTATGAGGGTTATGATTACAGTTTGAGGGTAATGATTACAGTATGAGGGTAATGCTGTGGAAAACAGGAGGAGAGTGGAGCAGTAAGTGCTAGGCATTAAGTTAGTTTTTCACACATATGTTCCTCCTCTCTCCTCTCCATCTCTTCCAGATATACACAATGATGTTTGTTGGCCATGTAAATACTTAGAGCATCAAAAGCCACACTGGAAAAAGGAGAACATTTTCACACCATTAAGTTTAAATGAATGATTTGCAAACAAGTTGTGCATGCAAACATTTGCTTCTGTCCTCTATAGCCCTGGGGGAGAGAGAGGCTGTCTATGGGTTGTATTGTGCAGTAATGTACTGTGCTGTGTTGTGTTGTGTTGAGTTGTGCTGTACTGTCCTACTGTGTTGTGCTGTGCTGTACAGTGTGTTTAATTCATTTTGTTGTTGCCAGCCATATCTCTGGCTGATGGCTCTGACTGACAATGAGCTCTGATCTAGCTGCTGTAAGACATCTACCCACTCACCATGCCCACACACTCTGCTCTGTGGTAGACATTTAGGTTATCTTGTGGAGTGGACAGTGGTTTCCTCTGGAGTGAGGGTAAATTCATAGCATTCTGAAAAAATTATTAATACAGAGTCCAAAAATGTCAAGACAAATTGTGTGCGAGTGTGTGCATGCTTGCATGTGTAACAGAGTTAAGAACGTAGCGTAAGCTCACTCCACAGCTTGCTTGAAGCTATCGAATTAGATCTTTTCTGATAGTTTAAACGGTTGGTACGTTATCAAGGAGGGTGGTCACTTGTGTTTGCGAGCAGAGGATCACTGGTTCGAGCCCAGTTTGGGGACATGGACAGTGGAGGATGCTATACTGATAGCAGCAAACTGACGTCCGTTTCACGTGTCTGCAGACATGTGTGTGTCTGCAAGGTGCACGTGTACTACGCGTGTCTGTCTAATTTGACAGCCCAGTATCCAGACTCACTATGTTGGTCTTGGAGTGGCCGGCTCCCCCCGAGGACAACAGAGCACTTCCTGGTTGTAATGAGGCGAGAGCTGAAATGGGGCTGTAATAATGCTGCCGGGCCTCGGCTAGCCCGTCTGGGGTCATACCCTGTTACACAGCTCTGGGAGCCCGATTCGATCAATGGACATCTGCTCTCAGCCCCGGTTGAGACATACTGTGCTGTTATAGTGAACAACCATGAACATCAAGTTACATCAAGTATATGTGGTCTTAAATGGGGATAAGGCCTTCCATACTAACACCCTGTGTGCTTAAACCTACAGAGTTTCATTATAACCATACACTCAACTGTACTGTACTTTTTTTGTAACTGTTGCACTGTTGAGAGGATTGTACTGTGTAAACTACGCTTTACCTTATGCATATGACCAATACAATTTGATTTGAATAACACAACCCAACAGTGGAAAGTGGGAACCCTAACAAAATAATTTATTTTATAGATTAAAATCTATTGATAGATAGATTTGAATAGATTAATAAAAGTACAGTTTGTACACAAGCTGGACACTGTATCTTAGCCAAAATAAAAACAATTCAAATTAGATAGATTTTACAACACAGTACTAAATTGTTTAGTAGGTAGTCAATTTATCAGACTTATGAGACTGGGAGAGAGGGAGAGTCTTACAGCGGCTGAAATAAAGAAACGCTCTTAACACATTTACCAAAGGTCTGCCTCTATTTCTCTCTCTCACAAACACATATGCGCACGCCCACGCACACACACACGCACACACACACACAAACATACACACGTGACCAGTGTGCTGCTTAGCCTGACTAATTTCCCCTCCTCTTTGATGCAACATTCCATCCCTAACAGAAAGAATAACACAAACACACACACACACACACACACACACACAAAATGCTGTTTGGTAAGAATGTCATGTACAATGCCTTCAGAAAGTATTCAGACCCCTTGACTTTTTCCACATTTTGTTACGTTACAGTCTTTTTCTAAAATTGATTAAATAGTTTTTTCCCCCTCATCAATCTACACACAATACCCCATAATGACAAAGGAAAAACAGTGTTTTTGAAATTTTTGCTAATTTATATAAAGGAAGAAAAAATACGGAAATATCACATTTACATAAGTATTCAGACCCTTTACTCAGTACTTTGTTGAAGCACCTTTGGCAGCGGTTACAGAATCGATTCGTCTTGGGTATGACGCTACAAGCTTGGCACACATGTATTTGGGGAGTTTCTCCCATTCTTCTCTGCAGATCCTCTCAAGCTCTGTCAAGTTGGATGGGGAGCGTTGCTGCACAGCTATTTTCAGGTCTCTCCAGAGATGTTCGATCGTGTTCAAGTCCAGGCTCTGGCTGGGCCACTCAAGGACATTCAGAGACTTGTCCCGAAGTCCCTCCTGCGTTGTCTTGGATGTGTGCTTAGGGTCGTTGTCCTGTTGGAAGGTGAACCTTTGCCCCAGTCTGAGGATCTAAGTGCTCTGGAGCAGTTTTCCATCAAGGAGCTCTCTGTACTTTGCTCCGTTCATCTTTCCCTCTATCCTGACTAGTCTCCCAGTCCCTGCCGCTGAAAAACATCCCCACAGCATGATGCTGCCAACACCATGCTTCACCGTAGGGATGGTGCCAAGTATTTTTTATTTTTTCCCGTTTTTCTCCACAATTTCAATCTTGTCTCATCTCTGCAACTCCCCAACAGGCTCGGTTGAGTCATGCGTCTTAACACCCGCCCGCTTAACCTGGAAGCTAGCCGCACCAATGTGTCGGAGGAAAACACTGTTCACCTGACGACCGAGGTCAGCCTGCAGGCGCCATGCCCGCCACAAGGAGTCGCTAGAGTGCGATGAGCCAGGTAAAGCCCCCCAGCCAAACCCTCCCCTAACCCGGACGACGCTGGGCCAATTGTGCGCCGCCCTATGGGACAATTCCTTCAACCTCATGGCTTGGTTTTTGCTCTGACATGCACTGTCAACTGTGGGACCTTATATAGACAGGTGTGTGCCTTTCCAAATCATGTCCAATCAATTAAATGTACCACAGGTGGACTCCAATCAAGTTGTAGAAACATCTCAAAGATGATCAATGGAAACAGGATGCACCTGAGCTCAATTTCGAGTCTCATAGCAAAGGGGCTGAATACCTATGTAAATAAGTTATTTCTGTTTCTTATTTGTAATACATTTGCAAAAATGTCTAAAAACCTGTTTTTGCTTTGTCATTATTGTCACGGAATCAGCCGAGGCTGCTCCTCCTCCTTGCTCGGGCAGGCTTCGGCGTTTGTCGTCCCCGGAGTACTAGCTGCCACCGATCTATGTTTCTGTGTTTGCCTTGTTTTGTCTTGATTGTGTACACCTGTTTCCTATTATGTTGTATTGTATTCCCTATATAACCCTCTGTCGTTCATTGTGTGTTGTGTGTGATTGTTCTCGTCATTTTCGGCAGTTGCTATTGTGCGGGTATTCTCCTCCCTGTTTGGAGGTTGTTTTGTACTCTGGTTACTTTGTTAGTAAAGTACGTTTCCAGTAGCTCGGTGTCCTGCGTTTGACTTCGCCTACCGCATTCACGTCGCACTTTGACAATTATGGGGTATTGTGTGTAGATTGCTGATAAAATGTTTGTATTTAATCCATTTTACAATAAGGCTGTAATGTAACAAAATGTGGAAAAAGTCAAGGGGTCTGAATACTTTCCAAAGGCACTGTATAACACACACATATTATACAGTGGGGTCCGAAATGATTGACACCCTTGATAAAGATGAACAATAATGACTGTATAAAATACATAATTCAAATATTGAGCTACATTGTATGCTCAAGAAAATGGGGAAATTATATTATTTTATACTAATACAATTGCTCAGAAAAATAGATTTTGTTTAACAAAATAAGGTGGTCAAATGTTTAGTATTTGGTCCCATATTCCTGGCACGCAATGACTACATCAAGCTTGTACCCCCAAGAGATGTTCACCTCTCACCATTACCAATAACAGGGGAGGTTAGCATGTCTTAGGGGTATGATCTTTGACCCTCTGTAACTTTCTCACACACGTGGTCAAAGGTCATAAGTATAAGTACCCACCAGATCATAGCCAAGCTCAATATGATCCTTATCGTCATCCCAGCCACAGCAGGGGTCAGTCAGCCAGAGTCACATGATCCACTGTTAAACCCTCCTTCTTTTCATAGACCCACCTCCCACTCATGGCCTAGACCCTGACCACTCACCCTCTCCGTCTCTGTCTGCACAACCTCCACTCATCTACTGGGCACTAATCCACAGCACAGCTTAATCCTCCAAACCTGGCCACATACACACTCATAGGGACACAGAGAGATGTGTGCACACACCCACAAACTCACACACACACACACACACACTCTTTCTCTCTCTCAATATAGGATATTCCTACAGATACTGACATGCACACCAGATAAAGAGCCACACTGGCGTGAGTAGCCATGCTCAATGACACATGAGGGTCTCAAGCCGCTAAGTGGCCATCACACAGTACAACACGCAATCAATCAATCAAATGTATTTATAAAGCCCTTTTTACATCAGCAGTTGTCACAAAGTGCTTTACAGAAACTGAGCCCAAAACCCCAGAGAGCAAGCAATGCAGATGTAGAAGCACGTTGCTAGGAAAAACTCCCTAGAAAGTCTGGAATCTAGGAAGAAACCTAGAGAGGAACAAGGCTCTGAGGGGTGTCCAGTCCTCTTCTGGCTGTGCCGAGTGGAGATTATAATAGTACATGGCCTTATACTCTTAAGACACACATGTAATCATCCTTAAGACACACGCACTCATTCATGCTCAAGATCTGCACTTATACTGGTCCACCCTTACAGTGTTCAAATTAGGATTACACCCTAAGAGAGAGTGCATTCAAGGTTTTGATAGATTAGGAATTTTTGGTTTCATTCATGCTAGCTAGCATATTAAGCACACACCAGGCTTGAGGTCAATTCCATTTACATTCCAGATAATTCAGGAAGTACACTGAAATTCCAATTGCAATTCTCTTCAATGCTTTTCAATTGGGAAAATGTGGAATTGGAATTTGGTTTATTTTCTGTGTGTGTGTGTGTGTGCCTGTTTGTTGTTAGTGCACAGACACTGGAAAGTATTTAACTCATGCCAACTCACCCAACAGATGTTGAAATCTAAAACCACATTTCCCAGAAAGCCAACTATCCGCTTTAACAAAGACAGGAAGTTCACATGACCCAATCACCTGAATCTCTACAGGTTCACAGTAGAAATCCTCAGATGTTGATAGGTCAAATCCCTCAAATAATACAAACTACTGTCCTAAAGGAAAATTCTTTAGTGACTCAGTTCACTCTAGCCTTCACTTCAACAATAACCACGATGGAGGAATCTGCATCCTTGGCCTGTTGGCAACAAAAGCAGGAAACAGCATTATAGGAAACAGCGGCGTTCTATAATGTCTTCCACTGTTGCCACAATACTGCCTACTGCTCCTATACAAGTTATACACATAAAATAAGAAGGGTGGGAGAAGCTAAAATATGCTATAAATTACTCTCTCAGAATGTGTTCACAACAGCGTTATACCTCCAGCAATTTACAACAAATAAATTATATGATCTCCTTCCTGCTATTTTAAAATGTATTTATTCTGACGAGGGCTTTGAGAATAGAGAAAACCTCCATAAAATAAAGCTTGGACATGAGATGATGCTGACCAGAGATCTGTTTTTTAATACTTATTTCTCTAAGAAGATCTCAGGGCAATTTCAGTCACAGCACGACAAGTTCACAGGCATGCGTCTTCCAGTACAATCTAAAGAGGACTAACATCTTTTCACTTTTTTAACAGTTAGCAGCCTGACGATCAAATGGATTTGTAGTTTATTTCTAGAGACTGGCATGCCATTGGATCTGCATGCACAGAGATGGAATAGAACCGAGATAGATGGTCAATCTAACACACAAAGATGAAGTGAAACTCATCAGAAACTCTGAATATCTATAGCCACCTCTCATGTCATCCTTCCCTGTGCCACTCTCTGTAAATCGTGAGATACAAGGTATACAGCTCTGTGTGTCAAAATGGAATTAAATATCTTTGACCAACCACCTGTTACATATTGTAGCGAATTCGGGTGGTAGCCTCGACCAGGACTCAAACCATTACGCCAAGAAGTCCAAACCTCTTGATGAGGTCGTCAAGAGGCTACCACCTTTCTTCGGGAGAGCGTGTCCCCACTTGGTATAGACCAAGTCCCTCATGTGTACACGCCCCACGGCCCCCAATCCCACTTTTGACACCAGTGTAGCAAATTTGGGGGGTAGCCCCGACCGGGACTCAAACCCGGGTCCAGCGACTATCAAGCCAACACCTTAACCGTTATGTCAAGAGGTCAAAACCTCTTGATGAGGCAGCTACAATATAATTCACAATCATCTGTTTGCTGATCACCGTTACTGATTGCAAATTGACATATATCTGGTCCTAGAACTATACTTGCTGATTGACATATAACTGGTCATAGAACTATAATTGTAACTATAACTATAACTGCTCATTGTAAATGATTATATTTCATCATTTTCATTGCCTTATTGATGTTATGCTGCAGCTGCACTGCACATATAGTCTGTGTATGATTATATCAGCACCATAAAGAAACTAACATGGTATAACAAATGATCAGGGCATTCTCCTCTCCAAGCCCTCACTACTGTGTGTGGAACAGACTGGGCATGACACACAGGACAGATGACCTCCAGAACAGACTAGCGTAGCATACTGTTTGCGTCAACAAACGAAACATGATACATCACCAAATAATGACGGGAAACCCCTGAGGCCATGCAGGGAACAACCAATCCCAAGCCAGGCCCAGCAGACAGGTTAAAGACCAATATGTGTAGCCATAGTGATGTCAACATGAACAGTGTGTGTTCCCCAGTGTGTGTGTGTTCTTCAGACTACCTATGGTGAGCCACATCCACCAGCGGCAACACACAAAGCACAGTAAATTGCAGTCTACAACTGCAACAGTGTAGTGCCAATCCTGAATGTACCCTGATTCCCCAGAAGTACCCTGATGAAGGTGTAACATCGTCCATCCATGCCATGGTCAACTCAGTATTCAATAGCAGAAAATATTCTCCTAGATAAACTATAGACAACTTTCACTTCCTGAAGCCCAACTATACTGTAGAATAGAATGCTCACCAGGTCGTGGTTGGTGGAGTTGGAGTCGTCCTCTGGGAAGGGGATGTAAACAGCTAAGGCCACACAGTTGGCAAAAATAGAGAGCAGTATAAAGATATCAAAGGGTCTGAGGCACACAGTTAAGGGACAATGATCAAAGCACACAGTCAATACATGAGCGTCAACAGAGAGAGCACATTGCAGTCATGTAAAGGTAGATGCTTAAGTAAAAAGAACAATGCTTAAAGCAAACATTTTCAAATACAGCGACATCATCAGTTTGATAGATGACGGAGAGCTTACTCCTTATCATAGGATTGTCTTAATGTGCCATCTTTAGAAACACACTGTCTGTGATGTCTGCATTCAGCACTACACTCAAATGAACTCTCTAGACTGTCTCCAACCGAGGTCTGGTCTGGGAGTGTTTTCAGCTTAGAAGAGAAAAGACTCAGACAATGGCAAGGCTACATGATCACTATAGAGACTGCAGAATAAATGATTTTGTTGCTGCTTGTTTGTTTAGTGCTTGGGAGGGATGCTAACTATCAGAGAATGACACTTGCCATCATGGCTACCATGGACTGCTTTCGCCTGTCAACGAATAGACCAAAAGCCACAGGTGTTTTCCATGGTCCCATGTGGAGAGACAGAGAGTCCCTGTATATCTCCATTGAGAGCCCCAGAAAGGATACTTCCACTCCACCAGGCTGATGCAGGCTCTGCGGATGGGGTTGTTGAGGGTGAGGCAGAACAGGGCCCTGGGCGGCCTGCTGTTGGTGGAGCCGCCCTGCTTCTTGCTCTTGGCATACTGCTGCCTCTTCCTCTGTGACAGTGAGCCCACCGGGGCAGGCGTGGCCCCAGGGACAGAGGGGCAGGTGCTCATGCTCTGGGGGGCGTTGCCCTGGGCGTTACGAGCAGCATGGATCGCGCCCTGCCAGGAGATTGTGCCAGTCCGGGGGCAGGATTCGGGCTGCGGGTGGGAGGGGTTTTCTGACCTGAGGGCCGGCGTGTCACCAGAGGGATGGGCTCTGGTGCTGCTGGCATACTGTGCCCCTGAGGAAAGACAGAAGGGGGGGGGGAGTGAGAGAGAAAGGCATGAAATACAAACTGTATTTGAAACTCAGTGAAGGTGCCCTCACCAGTCTCTGTGACTGTGCAGTGACTTTCAGAGCCCCAAACCTGCAGAACATTCCTCTAGCCATGTATTCAACCAACAAGTCGCCATGCGACACTTCAATATTGAAATAAACCTTTTAACGCTGCATGTATTTCATGCAGATCACAGGGAGACACTACAAGTGAAGCCAATTGGCTTTATTTAGTATGTATGCCTAGTTAGTGGTGCATCTTTTCTTTTCATATTCTAAAATATGTTTTTTTTTGTCTCAGAAAACCACTACATTTCATTTATATTGGCAAACATGAATGTTGCAGTGAGCTGATTAGAATGGCAAGCTGTAATCAAAGCAATGACATCCTTGGACAGGATAGTGATGTTGTTAGTGTTTGATGAGAGGGGGCTAAGCTTACCAGGGAGCATTCCCTTGACAACTAATGAAAACACAGAGGACACAAGGGAAGGCTGCTCATTGTAAGAGCCTAGTCAACCATATGGATGCTACATAAAAGGGAAAAGGGAAATGTTTTATAATTAAAATAATTATTTATTTCTGGTGATGACCTAATGTAATACTGTGAAATGGATTACATAATCCACTGTTACAACAAATTAAGTAATTAATCCAACATCTGTTGCAGGCACAACTGTTGATGCAAAACTGAGTCAGACAAATACAATTTAATTATTTGAATCTAAATAATTTCACTGCTTCCTCTCACCTAGACTAGACTTAATATGATCATAGTCCAAACTTCCATCAAATCAATCCACAAATAAACCTACCTTTTCTCCAGGACTACCTTTCAGCTGATTATTCTAATCTAGTACCGAGACATCAGTGATATCCACTGCTTATTAAAAAAAATGAAAATAAAATAATAATAATAATAATAATAATAATAATAATAATAATAATAATAAAAGATGCTCGCAGCACAAAACAAATAGAAAGCATTGGGCTCCGGGTCACAAGAGTGACAAATACGATAAGACTCACACAATACTATATACAAGAGCGCACGAGCGTCCTCCCGACAGCACAGCGCTCTAGTGACAACTGAGTCAAAGCATCGGATTTACCTTCGGGCTGTTCCTCTGCTTCTTGCATCCTCCTATCCACATTGAAACTCCGTTTTGATTCCAACACAGTCAAAAAATATCGAAAAGTGTAACAATAAACGATAAAGCAAAGTATTCAACTACATTTAATAAAGTCTACAGAACCCCAGAGAGTAGCCTATACCACAAACAGCTTTGCATTGCAACATCCGGGTGTTGTGCATGATGGATCGTAGATGGGTAAAATACAGACGCCTACATTATATCCTGGATCAGTGGTCCATAGGCAAAAAGTCCCTTCGAAGTTTTTGGTTAGATTACTGAAGCAACAGGAAAACAGCTGTGACCATCCTCTCAAGAAGGACGCGAAGATATGATTTTGGACCCTGTGTCCAAGGTGCGCAACGTGTCAATGTTCACTCTCTTACGGGCATCCCATGCTAATCCGTTTAGAGATAGCAATATAATGTAGTAGTCTACCAGAAATGGTTGTTGTAAATAAATCAGCTTCTGAGTTGGGCCAATGCCAGTCAATTCAATGACATAGTCATCATTGACCGACCCGCCTTTCCTTTCCAACTAGGGCGACTGTCTCGAGACGCGCAAAACAATAAGGCAATGGATGGCCATATAGCCTAATAACCATCTTCAATTAACCATAATAAATCAAACGAATAAGTAAAACGAATAAATCATGGGCCTAATATGACTATGACATTGATGAAATAACTATGATAAACATGTGTAGGTTTAAGGTTAATCAATGTGTTGCTCAATAACTTTCCAGGGCAATCACAGAGACAAATATGCCTGTGGCATAGTAAATTAAGTACCCCCGCGGACGGACGCATGGACGCACCAAACACACACCACACACCCACACAACGACACTGACACGATAATAAAATATGCATGATTTTGGATTAATAAGAGTCACTAACTGAGGTTGGGACAATAGATAAAATAAAATAAAATGAAATGTTATTTGTCACATACACGTGTTTAGCAGATGTTATTGCGGGTTTAGCGAAATGCTTGTGCTTCTAGCTCCGACAGTGCAGTAATATCTAACAAGTAATATCTAACAATTTCACCAGATGTGTTTATGAGCTTGGTAGGGTACAAATATCTTATTATAACCCAAAAACGAATGACCTATTGCTCCTGTTTTGGCTATAATTGGCAACTCTTAAGTTGTAAATGATTCGTTTTTTATCTCACATAATTGAAATCCCTGCATGGATATTTCAGATATGAAGTACTGTATGCACACCTTGCAGATTTCACATTTAATAGGTTATTATTCATCATTCTGTCACTCTCATTATATCACTTGGTTTTTAAAAGGCTATACATTTTATTCTAAAAAGCCAAACAATTATTAGCCAATTATTAGCCAAACATAGGCCAACATCTGGCACATAGGCTATCATGTAATGCACGCTCATGGTGAAGACATTATGCATATAAATTGTAGACCTATAAAATAAATCAACAGCAGTAGCGTGTATACATGGATGCCAAGGGAAGCCAGGCTTCCCGAAAAAATTGACCAAGAAAAAAACATAAAATAATATATATTTCGTCTCTCTGTGTTTCATAATTGTCCTTCAATTCGCTGAATGTATCTCGCCGGAGAAATCATCCGAGCGAGCGAAACAGCGCCCCTCTGTCTTTGTATGTGTAGGCCATCTATCTGATGCTGTCTGGTCCAAAAGAGTATGACATTGTGGCCGCCCGTAACATTGAACGCAAAGGAAGGCAGGAGCATTTGGCTTCCCTTGATAAAAAAAATTATAAAATAATAGTCAATCAGCGTTGAGCTAAACTGAGCGAGCTCAACTGTGAATGGTCCTGGTGCACCAAAAAAAAATGTCAAGGGAAGCCAGTTTGGATTTGGCTTCACTCCTATCAACTTGCATCCAGAGCATACATCATTGACAGAAACAACTTGAATTGTTGCATCTCGTGGTATTGTTGTCCTCCGGTGGCTAGCTAGCTAACTAAAATTAACCCTTTCCTAAATTAGCCATGGATGGAGATAGGAATTTGGAGTTGTGGTTTTACTTAATTCTCCATACTGGCCAATGATTATAACTGCGATTCTGATCCAACCATTAATTCATACATTGTGCCCCTGGCCTGAGAGGATGGAAGTTTAATATGTAGCTAGATATAGAAGTCTAATGTTAACTAGCTAATGTTGCCCATGAAAGGAAGTTAGGCTAGCAAGCATTTTAGCCAGGTAGCCTAGGACAAACAAAACATAAAAGAGTGTACTGTGTGACAGAGTGATATACCGTTTTGTCAACATGAAAGAGAGGAGAATGGTATTGGCATTTCTCTACAAGTAGGGTAAGTCAACATGTTTTTTCTACTTGCACAAACAAAGTCACATTGTATTTAGCTTATGTTGATTGGACTAAATTGTTTTTGGTATCTTTTAGTTGTCACTGTATTAGACTAAGCATAGGTGATTTGATGATGAAATGGTTCTGGAATAGTGGAGGCAGCTCCTGTTTTTTTTGCGACTTGCGGTAAACTCTCCATGGTTCTAAATCAATAGTATTTTAGTGGTCCGAAAATGTCGGAAACATTAATTTGCTTGACCATTCTGTAGGTCATGTAACTGTTAGTTACATGCAATATGGCTTTGTGGACTTCACCAGACAGAGGTTGCTCTCCGGTTCTATATCGTGGAGCTCCGCCCCATAGGGGAGCTCTGCTCCTAGTGGTTTACCCTCTGCCCTAAGGCAGCAACAGCCTGAAGCAAAATTATGCACACACCTGCAGCCAATGGGAGCACAGGTGTCCCTATAAGAGGGGACGCTTCCCCTCAATCAGCCTCCCATTATCTTCAGCAACTGGACGACTAGACTGAAGAAGCCAAGAAGTAAGAAGACTCAGGAAGAAATCGCCGTCGATGAGCCAGCCATCGACGTCTTCTAAATGAGCACGCCAGGAAATTTTCCACCCCCAAAAGCCCTTTTCAGGGCTCAGTGCCGATGCTCCTCCATGCATCTGCGGACCCCCACGACCTTTGTTTCTTGTGTTTTGGGGCCGCAGCATGCCAAGGAAGGGACCGGCAATCCCCCTAATTGCGCCTCCTGCGCCCTCCTTCCTATGAAGGAGAGGAAGCAGCGTTGGGCGTTTTTTAGGGAGGATATCCCCCTAGAGGATGTACTGTCTCTTCTCGCCTCTGCTTCAGAGGCGTCGACGGACAGTGCTGACTCAGGGGAGGACAAGGAGAGAGACGCAGGAGATGGATGTTCCCAATGGAACAATCCGACCCTCTGGCGCCAACCTTCAAGACCCCCTTCCCTATTGGGGAGTGTGAGATCTGAAGGCTCCTTGTGCGATGACGACACGGGCTCTGTTACGTCAGCAGCCCTGTCCTTCGCAGCGGCCTCTCTGCGTTCGGACTTCCACGAACTCATTGAGAGAGCCGCCAACCGACTAGAGATAGCGCTGCCCCCTGCTCCCCCCCCTGTGGAGGTCGACATGATGGAGGGCGGCCCCTACTCTAGACCGAGGAAGGCAGCTGAGCCGATGGCTCCTGCTATGCCTTTCCCTGGGGGAAATTTTCGGGGGCTCGTGGGATACCCCCTGGGGCGTTTTCCCGGCAAAGGGTTTACCCCCATTCAGAAGTGCGGGACGTGAGGGGCTGCTAAGGGAACCCCTAGGTGAGAGCGCCAGGGGGGCGTACTATCCGGTTCGGCCCCCTGGGCGGCCCAAGAAACCACCTTGCAAAGCACAAAAAACAGCCCCCCGCGGGGGAAAGTCTTTTACCGGGGAGGGCTTGTTCCAGCGGGTTAAAAATTTTGCCCTCCCTCGCGGCCCCCTATCCCCGTCAAAAAAGGGTGGTCTGATTT